AAAATTAATGTAGAGTAGGATTTTAGATCCTCTGTAATATTTAAATTTGAATCCATCAGTAACGGTAAAAAAATTAATTACCTAATAATTAATAATTTATTGTACTCATACCATCCCTATTCATAAAGTATTGTATTTAGAATTCGAAATTATTTTCTTTTTCCATTAAACAAGATCACAAATAGAACAACTCTTCTCCTTTGTATTCAGGAATTTATAATAGGGTTTAGTTACTTTTGTGTTCAGGAATTTATAATTTCATTAAAGTTGAGAGGGCTGTTAAATTTCACTTGCTGAATGTCTTATTTAACTTACTTATACTAAGAAATTAAACCGATAAATTTCGCCTATACTGAAGAAATTAAATTACCTAGACGAGCAAGGCATTATGCAGCAAGTAGCTGTACTTTGCATTGCCTTTATATTCTCTTTTGATGGTAAGATGTACAAAGTTGAAGTTTTCTTTAATTTGGCATATTCAACTTGACTTTTGTTCAAATCAAATCACAGTTCTTTCCATTCTCTTATCCAATAGACTTGAAAGAAAAGCTACAATTTGTTCACATTTATATGGAATTGGGTACAATTCCAAACTTTATAAAATTTCAACATGATTATGTTTTTTTTCTTAGTATGTTCTGAAAATGCTCAATGCACGCACTGTCATTAGGAGTATATAACCAAGCATGCTCCCCTTATGCATTATTACTCTTGTCACTTGCATGTGACTGCACAAAGTCGAAGAGGACCACAATATCCCATTACTTGCATAGCATTTTAGCAAGACATGTTATTCACTTCAAACTTTCTTTCCATTTTCTGACACGACTTTGTTTCTTTTCTAATAGCATACATGGCCAGCTTTTCTTGATGGATAAATATTTTATGAAAAAATTGAATATAATCTGTGAAGTATGATTCTCTCTGTAAAGTAAATATTGGCCTTACGCTCTCATTCGAGAATAAATCGCACTCATGCATATACATATTTTCAGTATACAGCCAAAACTTATTCCTGCGCCAAATCGGAGGCCAATATTCCCGTATGTAACCATAGATTAGAATACATATCTGCTTAACCATTCGCTCTAATAATTATAATAATAACCTTTATCATAGAAGAAACGATTGCAGGAATTTCTAAGCTAAGGTTGTCGGGGAAGGTAGGAGTATACAAAGAATATAATGTGGAAAAAAAATCAAGAACAGATAAAACCACCAGGAAAAAAAAAATTCACCGTCTCAAAAGTATTATAAACTTACAGAAAAATATTTCTGCATTTACTTTCAAAATAATATCGTTTTGAGATTGAAAAATTAGAAAATTATAATTATAAAGATTATAATAACTCTGAAATAAATTAAAATTACAAAAATATCATAATTTTCATCCCAAAACGACATCATGTTGAGTTTACTGCAAATAACTTATCTACAATAACTGCAGAAAAAGCAAACCCTATAAACTTATCGCGGAAGAAGCAAAAAAGTAAACAACGGATGTTATTTTCACGGTTGAAATTCTAACAGCAAATACAAAACTCTTATCCTAACCAAAAACGCATAATTTAATGAGTGTAGGGCAATTACATAGTTATAATATTAAAATTATTTTTTTTAATTATATATTACCAATAATATATATTATTGTTAAAAATGATTGCAGGACTGAATAGTATCACTATATTATTTACTGAATAGTATCACTGTATCATTCCTACACAATCATTCTTATATATTTCTGTATTTTAATATGACAAAACAGACTAACAATCATTGGTTTAAGGGAAAAACAACTCTCCTGCACAATATTATTAAAACTGTCCGGTCATTGACCCGGTCGAGGTACTGGGTCACTGGTTTAATCAGTGGATCACTGGTTTAATCGCATGATCCGGTAATTATATGCAATTTTATAATTTATATTAAAAAATTATAAACATACTCAAATATCTAAAAAAATGATAAAAATTTCAAATATTTTAATATAAAAAATAATAAATCACATGTTATTATCCAATAAAGGATCAAACAAAAATATAATAATCGTGATACGAGGCTTTAGGTTCAGAGAATGACATCTCTAACTAAAAATCAAATCAAATTTTTTTGCATAGTGCATAATTGAGATAATATTAGTGTTGTAGGTACATAACTTATGTAAGTCAATAAACAAAAAAATATTCAAATATGTCCATTATGATTTTTATTTTATTTTTTAAATTTGGAAATTTTTTTTTGGACCGGGCCGGGTCACCGGTTTTCATGAAAACCGACCGGATCGGACCGGGTCGCACCGATTCTGATGTATGATCAACCCAACCGGTTTATCCATTCCCGGATCAACCCAACCGGGTCGGGACGATTTTATTAAATTAACAATGGGTTTGTCTACTCTCATGTTGTAAGAGAGAGCATATCTTATGCTAAGACACAAAATGATGGAACTCGCCCCTAAAAAAGAGAAAAGAAAAGAAAAGAAAATAACAACACACTCGAAAGTGTCTATGACATAAGATAGTAATCTCCTACAATACGAGACTACTATTTTCCGTTAACAATCATTCCTACACCCGGGAGAGAATATTTTTTCTTCTACAAACCCATCAAAAGCTGTGTCATCCTTTTTCTTTTTTTAAATCGGGTGGATCCACGATTTTATTGTCTCAATTGAAGATAAAAAGTCTCTCCTTGGTTTAATACTTAAATTTGTTTCCCTTTCCTTGCGATTTTGGGAGAGCTTGTCCCAAATAAATGGGTCAGACACAGGTCAAACTAGATTAATTGGTACACTGGTAGAGAAATCCAAACTGTTGGAAAAAAAATGGTTAAAAAAATTATTATCTTAACAAAATTTGGGTCATAACAAATGCGTTAAACCTATAGGCCCAACAGTTGTAAGAATGCTTAAATATTTTTCAATTGGATAATTTTATTTTCTTTTAGTAAATATTAACCAATATATGAAGTCCTACCGAGCACGAATAATCTGATTTTTGATTTAAATCTCTCCACCTTCTTAAGAATTGTAATTCTTGAGAATCGAATCAACTACTCTTTGAGGAAAATTTGAAACATAACCCTATTGTGGATTGCATCTAAAGAACCCGAATTTGCGGGATTCTGACAGATAATTTGCAGTTAATCGGTCTAATGTCAGTGTTTGATTTTTAATCCATCTTAGAACAAGTTTCTCGGAAAATGAAATATTTAATATGACTTCAACAAATATTCAATATGCAGCACACCCATATGGATGCCAAATTTAAGTATATTGTAACTCAATTTTTTACAAGATCCAAGTTGCATGAAATGACATAGTACACTAGAATTTTTGTCAAGATTTTTGTTAGACTAAAAGAATTTTTTTATAAAACAACGGTCAACACATAAACAGCATGAGCATAAAAAAAAAAAAACAGTGGGAATGACAATGCTAAGGTGAATGTTTCGTCATGCAAAAATAGATGACATAAGAAATAAAATATTAGACAAAAGACAACACTAGCACCAATAATTTAAAGGATTTTGCATCTATCATTTAATATGACCACAACAATTTTTCTATACACACAACATTTTGTGAGACCCGCAATTTTTGAAATAAAAAAAAATAAAATACTCCGGCACGCAAAACAAATATCTATAACATAATACAATCATTTTTCCTACAACATAATTCTTATAAAACACTAATTTAAAAGATGAGAGAATATAGCTAGATCAAAATGGTTTTGACCTATTATCCAAAGGTCATTAAATGCTTTTATAAGAATAAAAATTTATTACAAAAGCATGACACAGAAAGTAAGATGTTGACCAAAACTAATTTGAGGGATAGTAATAACAGAATATTTAATGTAATGGGAAATAAACTCGCATAAGGTTTGTATTAAGACAAAACAAAGGAAATATATTAGCCTATTACAAATAGAAAAGTCAAAACTAGGGTGAAAGATTATTCCTATGTTTCAAATAATCTCTTTTTAGTTATTTTTCTCTTCAATCTCCCCTCTCTTTCTTTTTCTTTTCTTGGTTTTTATCTTATTTTCTCCTTCCTCATTTTTTTTATTTTTTTTATTTTAATCTTCTCTTATTTATAATTGAATTTATCTACCATCCCGACCCAATTCACTTGAGTTAAAAATGATATTGATGATGATTTATCTATTTTTCAGAATTTGTCAATTCAAACAGAAAAACGGATGGGTCTAATTTCTCCTCACACTGTATCCAAATACCTTATCAAATTTGACTCATTTTAAACATCATTTTCATTTCTACCAAGCACAACTTATTACTACGAAGATTTAACATTTTCTGAATCGTAAATTAATCAAACAAGTAATAAATTAATAAATAAATAACAAACGAAAACAACGTAACAAGAGAAAAAACAAAAAAAATTGAACTTAAAGCTTCTCCAAAACGTCCTCTTATAGTAGGAGATAAAAACAATAATTCCACCAAGCGAAATCAACTAATCAACTGGAGTATATAAATACAAGTGTTAAGTAATAAGATAAAATGTAGGGCACAATCTATCTTAAACCAAGAAAACTTAAGCAGTCAAGAGCTAGTACTGTGCCCTGTCTCATTTTAGCAGCTGTTTAAACTTACTGGCTCGCAAATACTTAAGCAAAACAGTTCGGCCAGCTGCAACGTCTTTAAAAAAAAAAAAAACCCACCCCTTCACAAACACTGTCTAACCCCCCAGGTGACAAGCAGAAAACTCATCATCTGGCAGGAGGGCTATCTTGACAAAATCACTCAACATATTAGAAACCCATATACCAATTAATCTTGAAGAAAAATAAAAGTTCCATCCAAACAAGATCAGACATGTGAACTCCACATCACTGTTAAAAATAAAAAGAGAATTCCTAGAATTTGTACTCAAACCTACAAAAAAAATATGACATTCAAAACAAAGCTTAGTCAATGAAAAGGAGTCATTGGTGAGTATTATGAAATCAGCAAGCAAAGTTAAACAGCACGAAACATCATCAATTAGGTATTCCTGGAAGTTAATCCAGTATAAGTCTTCCCTATTTCCCTTGAGTGATAATACAATAACATTAGTTCATTCATATTTCACCTACAACACAAATTGTGCGCCCATCCTATTGAAGATTATGGCTAAAAGCTACCCAATTATCTATGCAGCAATACTCAGAAACTAACCGTTCCCAACAACTTTAAATAGCATCAAAATTCTTGCCATGTATAACCGAATTAAAAAATGGAAATCCCAACAGGGCATAGGTTTGATCAGAATAGGACACTTCCTGATATAATTATTTATTCAAATAATACTACTAGAGAAGTCCACCTCTGTGGTTCTCTTTCCTGCAAAATTGTCAAGCATGCAATATATGCATGCAAAGAATGAAATACTCATTTGCATAGTACATTTTTATATTTTATGCTGCAGCAGACTGCTTCTCCTCATAATCATCGAGATTAAGAGCTTGCAGCAACTTTGGCCAAGATTCTGGGATCCCACCTGGCAGGTCAAACTCCATTAGTTTTCCTCTACTGCGGTAAAATTCCTCCACAGGCTGACTCTGCAATCATGATAGAAACAAATTATTAAACAATTAGAAATGACAAAAAAAAAAAAAATCATTTACGAAAACGGATTGCAAGCAACTGGAAATTAAACATGAACTTTTTATCAGCTTTACTCAGAGCTATCAATTATTAGAGAATACTGTATTAGTATACTAATATAGTATGGTACTCTATTTTCATACACATACCTGTTCGATTATACATTTGACAAGTTTGTTATGGTTAGTAGTCAGTTAGTCAGATGTTAGTTAGTTAGTGACAATTACACTTACCACATCTTGTATATAAACCATCCATGAATCATATTTCAAACCAAGATAATCAGAATCAGTTTTTCAGATTCAGTTCTAGCTATCATGTCCCCCCCCCCCCCCCCTCTCTCTCCTTTTCTCTCTCTCTCTCTCTCCCCTTACCACTTTCTTTCACTTTCCTTTGTTTTCTATTACCAATCTCCCCATTTTAAAGATGCCATATATACAACTTCAAGCAAAGTAGTAACTCTAATAGCAAAATTGGTTCCTGAAGTCCCCTGAATAATAATAATAATAATACCATTTCATTGTATATACGAAGCCTTTCTTTGATTACTGCTTCAGTATCATCTGAACGAGTAATGAGCTTCGACATACAATGCGCAGGAGGAAGAAGTGGAGCCATGCTCATTCCAGGGCGCCCATTCTCACCCTTGATGTTAATGGAGGCAACATTAAAATTTCCTCCACACTGATTGCAAATTCTCCTACCCAGGCATTTCTCAAGCAGTACTTCTTCGGGGAGCTTCAGATTGACCACCAAGTCAATGTCGGTTACCCCTTCCAATATTTCCTGAGCACACAAAATGGCAATACAAATTTTAATCATATTTTGAATAAACTACTGCTATGAAAGGTAAACATATCACTGAATTGTTGCAACTTCAACACATGAACGATAAAAGGGGTTTGGGGAGGGCAGAAAGTATAGCTGCCTATTTGGTTACTTAGTCTCTAGAAATATCACAGTATGAGATGACATAAATTACAAAACATATGTTAATTAATATAAGAACATTAGGTAATCCCTTAGTTATTCAAAGGTTTGAGTTTTATTTTGATCCATTATTAGTTTAAACTATTTTACATCATCATCCAAACATTTGTACTCCATCATTAGAAAAGCTTAAGGTATCACATTGACAGTGAATCAAAATCAAATCCAAAGCATTACAAAAGATTTTGGTGAAAAGCAGTAGCTGTTCAGGTGAAAAAGACTAAAGGAACCTAGATAAGCTAGGTTACCTACAAAATTATCATATTATCCATTCTAGCAAAATTCCTTCCGTTAACAATAACGAAAGATACTTACTGCTTGCTTTATTGTTCTAGGAAAACCATCAAGAATAAATCCTGATTCGCCTTTAGCGTCCCCAGCAGCCAGTCTCTTTGACAATAAGCTTATAATAATTTCATCTGACACCAATTTACCTTGGTTCACAATTTCTGATAGCTGTAAATGGGACCAAAAATTGCACATCAGAAAGCAAAAGAGATGGCAAGATGGTTTACAATTCAATTGCATATCCTCATTTCGATAAAAAGTATCCTATTATCATTACTTCTTATTTCCAATTCATGCTTACAAGCTCCAAATAAATAAATAAAAATTAAGGCACACGATATGACGTATTGAAAATCTACATATCATAACTACGTATTATTAAAAGTTCAAAAGAAGATCCACAGTAGTAAAAATAATTAGTGACAAAAACAAAAATAAAAATCACTCCCATGACAAACAAAAAGAACTAACATCAATTCAAAGCAAAAGGAGGGGTATGCCAAACCAGTTGAGGCGCAAATCTCCAATCAGATATTTCAACCTAATAAACAAATGTCTTCGAAAAAACAACACTACAGGATAATATAATAGAATTACTATTGGGGAAGCTTAAGTCCAAAGTATTATAGGTCACAAAAGCACAAATCCTTAAGATTATTTCATAGGAATGACGTGATTCACGATTTGAAACTCTGAATGAATTAAAAAGAAAAATGAAATGCTCGAAATGAACACATGTTATGCCATCTACCACTTGATACGTGTTTCGCACTGCATAGCATAGCATTTCGCATCCAAAAAAGAAAAAGAGAAAAAGAGAAGCTGAAAAGCAAAGAGATAGAAGATTGAACCTCGGAAGAGAGAGGACCATTGGAGTTGAGCTCATGGCGAACGAGATCGCCGGTGGCGATGTGAGGGACGCCGAGAAGGTTGCAGAGGCGGCTGGCGTAGGTGCCTTTGCCGACGCCGGGGCAGCCCAAGAAGACCCACTGGATATTCCTATCCTCACGCAGCGGCGCCGGCGCGTGAGAAATCGTAGATAAGCATCTACGCGCCAAGTAAGAAAGAGAAGGGTTGCACTTTACGAGGCGGCTGGTAATGGCCGCCATTGGAATCGTTGCAATAAACTCGGAAACAGAACAAGAAGGTGGTTATGGCAATTGGCAATGCCCGCTCCATCCTTCTTAAATCCCTGCTTTTCTTTTATTTTTTTATTTTTTATTTCGTTAGATTCGGAGGATTTTTAGAAAGATTCTTCCAACCATTATTACACAATTAGTATTTTTTATTTTAAGAAAATAATGATATACGTATAACCATAGTTTTTGAAAATAAATTTACATGAAAATAATTATTCAACATTTAACTTTTTTTATTATCAATTCATTTGACACCTGATTGTTTTACAATCATTTTTTATTTTTTTAATAACTGATCATAATTATCTTTTTGAGGCAAATCAGAATCATCGTATTTCCACGGGTTTGATTCTTTGAGCCGCCTATGAGACTAATTCAGAGTTCGGGTGCGAGTCCAAGAATTACGGTATCCCCCTCCCCATATGATGTTAGTGGGATTCGAACCGAGGTTCTCTCCCACCACTCAGTTCCCATGCTACCAACTGAGCCACCACACTTGGATTTTACAATCATTTTTATCCTTGATTAAGATAGGGATAAGTTATTTACAAAAAAAAAAGAAAAAAAAAGATAGGGATAAGTTATTTTACATATTATTTTTTCTGTTTACTTTTGTCTATTATTTAAAATATCATTAGATTAACTGACATTTATCTTTCTCTCTTATTGTTCAATATTTCAAAGGGAAAAATATTTGTCCTTTTAAATAACATAACTTACATCATTTCACTCTCACAAAGAGGTGGGACCCACATCTTTATTTATTTTTTGTCTACTCTCTTCTTTTTTATCTATCTCTTTCTATCACTTAAAATAACACAACTTTACCTCCTCTAAAATGACACACACTTTACCCTGTTCCAACAGAAGATTAAATCTTATTCTCATTGTTTTGTGATTGTTAACTAATACCATTTTGGATTTTTAATTTGAAAAACTGTCACACACTTATTACATTTTTTGTGTCTATGTTGTGGAAAGAATTTTTGTGCCACCGAATATGCCACGTTTGTTGATTGGCATGGTCTCACTCGCAGCTCACAAGTTCTAAACTGTTCTACGTCTAGATTTCACATTACACATGTGATTTGTCGTTTTCTGAACTTGCTAATAAACGAGGAACAGACAGAAAGAAGAAACAGCCTTTCTCCATTTCTGAGACCACTTTCCATGGCATGCTTTCCTTCTACAACGTTTTTGTCGAATTCTCTTCACCTTAACAAAAATACAAATCAGTGTCTGCTACATGTATATTCAACCCTCTCACTAAACCAAAACCTTAGAATATATTCGAAAAATCTACTCAAACTCTCACCAACCCGATACCATGTAACAACAGTACCTTGTGCTACTGGTTCTGCAGGCAAGTTTTGTCTCACTCTTTAGTCTTTTCTCTTTGTAAACTGAAGAAAAAAATAATTTTTATTTTTACTTTTTTTTTTACTTTTTTCCGTTCTGAAATAGCGTAACAACCATAATGTTTTTACTCTTTAGTCTTTTAAGTTTTGTCAATTTTGAATGCACGAAAATTGTTGTTGAAGAATTCATCGTATAACACTATGAGATAAAATGGTACATAAAAGTTTGTTTTTTTGAATAGTCATTTGTAATTTATGGTTGATTGTTTAAGTGGGTGGATGTGAACACTGAACAGGAGTTGGGTCTCCCTTGTTGAGTGAGGATACCACGAGTTCACTTGATTTGGTGAAAGTTTTTGATTTGAAAGGAAACGGGATTCCAATTTCTGAGTTGTGGAAAGATAGGAAAGCCGTTGTGGCTTTTGCTCGCCATTTTGGGTGATTTTCTCATATTTGACACAGTGACACACAAATTAAGTTACCCTTTAGCTGAATGTATTAGCTCTTGTTCATGACTTTGTTTAAGAATTACATGTGCCCTATTTTTTTTTCATCTGTACATTAACAGGTGCGTGCTTTGCCGCAAAAGGGCTGATTATCTTGCTTCCAAGAAGGTAAAGTTTTATGCTGTATCTTTTACAAACGTGAACTATCTCCTGATATTTGATGATCATGTGCTATTTCACTTTTCTCCTGTTCTTTTGTAATTTGCTATATGTTCTTACAAGCCTCCACCTTATCTGAAGACTCGTCTGATTCCTGTCAGAAGCTTGAACGTTGCTTTTAGCATTTCAGTCTTATGAGAAGATGATTTTGGTTCTTGTTTTTGGAGTTTATAGTATCTACATCCATATTGGATCAATCATGACTCATGATTTTTTACCCCTTTCACCTGTTGAATGTTTGAATAGCTTCTTTTTCATATAGGCTGTATTTTACCTTCACTACTTTTGAATGAAGTTATCCTCCCTAATCCTTACCATGGGTGGAAGGCCAAAACATGAGTGACAATTTTCTAGAATATAGCTTGCAATGAAAGTTTTGCTAAGAGAACTCCTATATCATCTTTCTTATTACATGGTAAAATAGAAAGATTTCTTTTTCACCAAGACTTATATACTAATATGGATGTGCTCTGTCAACAGAATATAATGGATGCATCTGGTGTGACACTTGTATTAATTGGACCTGGGAGCATTGATCAGGTATGTCAGAAGAATTGTAATGAATGTCTGCATCATTGGATCCGGTGTGTAGGGTTGGATTTTTTTTTTCTTGTTCATTTTTGAATTTGCAAAGTACTTCATCCACCGTCTGCTTGACGTGGTTGATTAAATGTAAATCCATGTCATAAAACATGTTTTCATAAGCTATGATTTTTGGTGGGAAAGAGTGTAAGAGATTGCTATCTTCAATTTTGGAGTCTTATTTTGTATAATTTGAGTGGGAAGTAGTAAAGTGGACCTTACTTTATACAATTCTCAGTTCTGCATTCTCCTATCATCTGAGTATGCTGGAATTTTGTTGCTAATACCTATATTTAGTACAGGCCAAAGCATTTGCCGAGCAAACAAAATTTGAAGGAGGTACTCTGCATCTGACCTAATTCTTGTGCTAGTTTTAATAATTTAGCCATCTCATATCAGAACTTTGACAGGACATTGTTATCTGTTCTAGAAATATATGCAGACCCCAATCACTCATCATATGAGGCCTTAAAATTTGTTTCTGGAGTTTTAACCACATTTACCCCCAAAGTAAGTGAGAAACCTCCAGATCCTTTATTCATAAAAAATGCATAAAATACCGGTGGCTGGATGATACATGTTCATAAATTGAGATTTTTGTTAACAGTGCAAAGGATCTCCCATGTTAACTTTAGCTGTTACACTGCAGGCGGGTCTTAAGATTATACAATCATATATGGAAGGTTATCGACAAGATTGGAAGCTTTCATCTGAAAAGGATACCGTTACTAGAGGAGGCTGGTATGTAAATTATCTCACAATAAGTCTTACACACATCTGATTATGCTGATTTTCCAAGGTTCACCTAGTCTTACTACCACTATAAATAGGATCCTTCTTGGTGTCCTCTTTACCTTCCTAAGATAAGAAATCCATTCCAAAATAATTGCATTGGCCCATCTCTTACACCCTATTTCCTAATAGAAGAGAAGTCTGGTTGGACATTTTTTATATGTTATTGTAAAGAACCAATTCAACCTAAAAGCTTAAGCTATTGGGTGAGGCCACATTAATGGTTTTATATATCTTAACACGTCCCCTCACACGAGAGCCCACTGGGCTTGAAGGGTGGACAATGCACATGCCCATCTACCTGTGCGAAGAAAAAAATTGCACTAGAAAGAAAGTGGGGGTGGTGAGGATTGAACCCGGTACACTAAGGCTTTGATACCATGTAAAGGACCAATTCAACCCAAAAGCTTAAGCTATTGAGTGAGGCCACATTAATGGTTTTATATATCTCAACAATTATATTGACTATTGTGGAGGAATATTATTATTGTTGGACTAAATGGTCATCCCAATTTCTGCTATAACGACTAACAAAATTTTGGCTGCTTGAAGAGAAACTTTGTTTGGTCATTGATATCTTGCCTTAATACATGACACACGATAATTACTCATAGTACAACAGCTTCCTCAAATAACAAGAAACATCTGAAATATGTTTATTTCTTGCAAGCAGCTTAGGAAAGCTAGCTACTTTAAGATTTTATGAATATGTCTTCACATGTCGGGATAATTAAATTTGTATATATATCCCATGGATTCTGTTAGAAATAACAGGGTTTGGGCAGGAAGAAAAAGAGCAAATATTGACTGAATAATAAGAAATATTAGACTAATATTCTATATTATGATTATGATGTGATAGTAAAGTAGAAGGTACTAATCCCCATTTATATTAATACTTGACTCTTAATGTTAATTAAATAAGGAAATAAGTTGTGGAATACAGAAATCTAAGATACTTTAAAATATTCTAAAAATTAATAATGATATTATGAGATATTTTCTTGATATTCTAACAAATTCTAAATCACTTCTTCAGTCCATTTAAGTCATTGATACTTTACAGGATCATGTTTTTTCTTTTGTGCTTGGCTAAACTTTACTTAACTTTTCCATAATATTATGAACTTGGACTTATGGCAGGCAACAAGGAGGAATTATAGTTGCAGGTCCCGGTAAAAATAACATCTCATACATTCACAAGGTATGTGCAACCCCCTAATCTGCTCCATCCTTTATAGAATATATTTTCCTTGGTAGCTTAGCTGCAATCAGTCATCAATCAGCAAAATATTCATGGCATATTTGTTAACGTTTTTCTGATATCATGATGTGAAATATGTTCATGTGAATAGGACAAAGAAGCAGGTGATGACCCAAACATTGAAGATATCTTAAAAGCATGTTGTTCCTGAAGAAAGCAGAACGGGTTCTTTCCCTGCTTTATTTATCCTGATTCGTGAAGTGTGGTACTCTCATCATAAGGCATTGTACATCACTGACGCTGAACAGTAGCTTTGCCTTGAGGTTCAGTTATAAGATAGCTTTATTACCCGCCATTCACCAGATGAAAACTCAGTTTTTAATCTAATACTATTAGACTCCTAATGTAAGATTCTATTTTTGTGGCAAAATCTTTTATGTAATATGTTTCCATTTATGATCCTGATCCATAATGAACGTTCTGCCTCCACCAGTTTTAGTGTTGTTATATGATTTTGTTTTATTTCATTGTTTCAATTTGAAGTGGAATGAGCTGGGCTTCTTAAAAAGTTTGTACGATAAGTTGAGTTAAAAAATTAAGTGTCTATATCTTTTCAGACCCCTTATCTCTATTTGTCTTGTTTGTTCCTTCTTATTCATGTTATTAGTAAACGTGGGAGTTGGGACCATCTTCACAAATTCAATAGCTTGTGTTTCTCTTAACCTTGCTTATGATCCTGAATTGAAAATCGCTATAGCAATTGAGAATGTTAAGTAAAAGTAGAATAAATACTGAAAATAATGAACAAGATAGTTGACTTTACTCCATGATACTGGGTATCATTCATTCTGTTACAGCCTATATTTTGGTGATACATACATATGCAGTTACATCCAGATGCAATATATACAGGTCGAAGAAGCCGTTGGGGGGAAAAATGGCATATCTAACATTTGTACAGAATTCCTTAAAATTCCAATCTAAACAATGAAGAGGTCATCAAATACTATTTAACGCTTACTTTACTCTGCAACCAACGGTATAATGATTCTTTGGTGACCTTCAACCTTTGTAGAACTGCAGGTCTCCTTGTCTGAAACCCCATCATTGTGGGTAATGCCTTCTCTCCTGGTAGTGCTTCTATGTTGAGATTTGAAAGGTTGGGGTTCTTTAACTTTGCTGTGCCACTAGGTGCAATTCTGGTTCTTGCTGGAAGAACTTCAAGGCCCAATTCATTCCTAAGAAGTTCTATTATTGCCTTTTGCACTTCTAATAAGTGTTTGGCTGGACTTTCGTCTGCTTTGGTAGATCCTATGACGATCAAGATGTCATCATTCACCGAATGTCCTGTATCCATAAAGACCAAAATATATAAATTTAGTTACATGGATTTTTGTGTGTCTCCACTTGCTTGCTTTCTTAGTTAACATGAATACGAATGCTTATGTAGACAAAAAGGCAATTGAAAATGAGCATGCAGCGCTGGCATTGTAGCATTACATATCTAGTATTTTTCATTCATACCTAAACCATAATTCTCTTTGATCATTCGAAGAACTGCAAGAATAACCAAGCGAGCTTCAACCTGTTGAGCAATAGGTTTGATGACAAAAAGTAAGAATTAAGACTTCACCAAAATCAAATATAACTTGCAAATTATTTTCTAAATTCGAGAGTTATGACAGAAACCCAGAGTAGATGTAGAAACAAATGAAGTGCTGTTTAAAATCTTCAATCAACAAAAATGTAGCTTTAAGCCATGCTTGAGTTGAGACATTTTAATGACCAAAGGAATATATAGGTACCTTTGTAAGTCCTTGAACATCAATTGCTAGGATGTCAGCTACCCTCTTTAGAAGGTGTGCCGCAATTTTTTCGAGAAGTAAACTCGGGGGTCTCTCTAATTCAGATTTATTACTGGAAGAAAATTCTCCTTGGTTCTCTTTGTTATCTTGTATCACTCCTTCACACCACTCCTCAATCAGTTCTTCCAGATAGCAGTCATTGGGTTTGTACCTATAATACATATGCTAGTTAGTTTAAAAACGAAGCAATGTGGGTATCAAAGGATATTCCGGCCATTCCCTTAAACATACAAGATGGTCCTGGATCAGATCCTTATGTTCAGTTCTTTGTATGCTATAATATTATGGATTATACCATGAGCACATTCAGTACAAAATATTTGGATCGGAAACTCTTTTTCCTCATACAATGAGGGATTCCTGTTCTTCTAATTCCGGAAGACCCAAAGATGGTCATTATAAAACTGATGTTTATGGTTATCCCTCTGGTAAAGCATATTATTTCAGAGACAAATTTTAACCACCAATTTTCTACTGGAGAAATAATTAACTAGAAGCAACAGCTTATATTATAAAATCACGTCAGTAGTAAATGAATTATATTGGATGGATCAAGCATGCCCAGGTTAAAAGTTATGAATGTAGCATCAGTACAGACTGCTTCTCTCTCTGTGTGTGGGCATATATATCTACACTGCTAATGATATTAATCGGCTATACCTACTCTTGAAACCATTAAACTGCGATCTCCCAAAGTTTCAATGTGTTGAAAAGTTGCTAACATATGATGTAACATGGAACAAACATGGTATGCATTTGACAGATAAACATACCCTGCCTTTCGCATATCTTGGTATACAGCCAGGCATTGTTGCACCTCATGTAGAGCGCCGTATTTACTGCGTGCCCTTAGAAGTGTGTTATAAGTCACCTGAGAAGATAATTAACAACATTAATAGAGATAACTTGATGAAGCATACTCTCTTTTCTTCTCTAGATCCCGATAAAGTAGTGATTTCCAATTTTTTTCAGGTATCTATTTACTATATTATGCATTGTCTGTCATTTCTTTTTCTCGTCTGGGAAACCGATGAATAGATATGTCAACCATTGTACTTATAGTTTAGTTGGTTTTTATGTTTGTAGAATCTTAGAGAAGCCTCATCAAAATTGCATTGAGTTAGTGGATAGAGCTATCTAAGTTTACCATTGAGTGATGAATAGAATCATAACACGATAACAACCAGTCTATAGGCACTCACCCAATTTGGATGTATCTCGTAGCTTTTCATTTCTTCGTATAATGTTAATGCTTGCTTAAAATTCTTACTTTCCACACAAACCTGTGAACCAAAAGGAAAAATTCTCATACGTCAAAGGCCAAGTAATTTTAAGATAGTAAAAATTGTCCCCTTCAAGTGTACAGGTAACTTTATAAAAAAAAATGAGCTCATTTTGACAGGAAAGTTTTGGACCTTAATGGCTGTTGTATAGGCAATGACATCAGGTTTAATTCCAGCTTTACCCATGGTTTTCAAAATCTGCAAGGGAACACAGTAATCTTATCAGAGAACTAATTGCATTATTAGTAGGGAAAAATATTTGATATTTTAAAGGACACAACTTTGTGTTATTTTTTATGAAACTACGTCATTTTGGTGTGTATTTGATGACTTTTTCCATTCTCTCTACTCCACTTTCTCTTTTCCTAATTTTATGGGGGAAAAAAAGAATACAAAAAATCACCAAATACACATCAAAACGACGTAGTCTCGTTAAAAATGAAACAAAGTTATGTGCTTTAAAATGACAAATGATTTTCCCTTATTATTATAATATTATTAAGCTAAGCAAAATAGTCTGTACTCTACGCATATCAATATTCAGGCAGACTATTCCTTCTAAGTAATTATTGTAAAGTCTGGTTTTATCTGGAATATGTCTTCAATGTAAGGTTTGCTAATTAAAGAATGGAAAGGGAGGCCCAATGCCCATAATCGGTTTCCATGGCAGCAATTTAAACATGATAATTCTGTGTCTATAGTTCTGCGTCTAGTAAATATTTTGCTTTTAAACATTTTGGAAGGGCTTTCCTATTTACCTATTATTTCCATCCATATTTCAAATCAATATTCTTTTATCTAATAATTAATCAAGCTACACATTCAATTGACACCCAACCAAAAAATTGAACATATTGGGTTATGAGATTAACAAACACTTTATAACTGTTCTGTTGTGTGACTAAATAATTCAAGTGGTACATTGAAACTGTCAAATATGATAAGAAATCCATCGTGTTCCCTGTGGCAGTAATACCAAAACACCAATCCTAATATAACTTGACAGAAAAGGTTTCCGAAAAATTGTGCAAAATAGATGCAAAAACATAATATTCTGGATTAATAAAAATTTTACCTCAATGGCACCCTCAACATTTTGTGATGCTGCACATAAATCTATCAAAATTGACCAGCTTATTTGATTAGGGGAAAGACCTACGGTTTTCATCTCGCTGATTAATGCTTTTGCATGGTAGTAATCGGTACCACAGGCCTTCAGTAAGATATTGTATGTTGTTGTAGTTGGTACGAAAGGGAACTTCTCAGCAAAACTCAAGATATGTGAATTAGAAAAGCTATTTGGCACAGTATTAGCATTATGCATGTCTCCTTGCTTTAAATTGATATTGTAGCCTTCACCAGAGGAACCCAACATCTTATTTCCCTTCCAAGAATGGAAAAAGCGAAAAGCCCTGTCATACTGGCAAGCTTCAACACATGCATGTAAAATGATGTTGAAACACTGTGTATTAGGTTCACAGCCAGCCAAAAGCATTTCTTCAAATAATTGAATTGCCTGCTCTACAAGTCCTGCATGTGCGCATGAACTGATCAATGAGGACCATGCAACAGTATTAAGAGAAACACCAGCCGACAGCATGTCCCGCTTGACTTTTAGAGCCATTTGCCACATTTTTGCATCAGCAAAGACCTGAAATTGGTACTAGTCAGGAGATGCCAAACATTTTGTACTTTAATATGTTACATATTGAGGACGAGGCTAGAGCAGTGGTAAAGTTACTTCTTTGTGACTGAAAGGTCATGGGATCAAATCTGAGACAACCTCTTTACAAATATGCAAAGGTAAGGCTGTTAGAGATATATATAAAATCATTAAAGAGGTCTTTACTTAATAGCTTAAGCTTTTGGGTTGAATTGGTTTTTTACATGGTATCAGAGTCTCAGTGTCACGGGTTCGATCCTCAACGCTCCCACTTTCTCTTGTGGAATTGCTTAGCACAGGTAAGCTGGACCTAATGCATCATCCACCCTTCAAGCCCAATGAGCTCTCGTGTGAGGGGCCGTGTTAGAGATAAATATAAAACTATAAAAGAGGCCTTCACTTAATAGCTTAAGCTTTTTGGTTGAATTGATTCTTTACAGGCTATATACATACAAGGATTGTCATCACTCCTACTCTCGCTAGTCAGGGTTTAATGGAGAGTGGTTTTTAATGTGTTACATATTCCTTCATTGCAAAGGAGTGAAGGAGAAGGTTTTATAGGTAGCATACAAAATCAATGAAATTATGGTGATTGTGTTGATCTACATTCTACAGTAATATACCTTTATAATTGTACTGTAGGTAAAAACATCTAATTTCAGCCGTCCCACTGATTCCCAATGCTTAAGTTCCCTATAAATATCGTGGGCTAGATCAACTCTTCCAGCAACACAGCATGCTTTCAGCAGGATGTTATAAGATGTCATATCTGGCTTCACACCATGATTCTGGATTTGTAGAAGGAATTTAGCCAATATGTAGTATTTGCTCAGATGAAGAGAAACTTTAATGCTCTTGCCAACTTTTGGCATGAAAATGAAAGCATATGCTGTCAATTAATATGTCAAGTTATCCAGAAGAAAATCTAATTAGCCTTCTTTTCTCATGTTTTAAGGGAAACCAAATGGAAAATAATATAAACATAATTCGCTTGATATGGTTTATTCAATGCATGAAAATTTGTGAGAAAACAGGAACGGCCAGGACAAGTGTTCCTATGCCAAGTTTTCAGAATCTCTATTGATATAAATTTATATTATATGTGCAATTTATGTTAAGAAAAGGAACATTTAGGTCAAAAGGCATAATCATCATCAAGCACATGTTGGAATGCTGACCTAGATAGAACACATACAGGTGTAAACAGAAACTTTTCACACAAATGATATCCAGTGATACATATGCATAAATGCACATCTCTGTACTACAATTCTTCTTTTTTCTTGGGGGTTGTGTGCATATTTCACTTGTGTATATATGTGTGCCACAATGATATTTGGGGGGAGCAGGGGTTACCTGCATATTTTGATATAGGTTTAATGTATAGCTAAGATCATGGGCATTCACATTCATGAGACTGTTGAACACATATATATTTGGAGAGATCTTCTGATTGAGCAAATCCTGCACCAGGAAAATGAATGCCATAATGCACATATGAGAAGTGAATAAATAAATACCTGTGTTTATCAGCCAACATTATGACCTCTAGTATGGTATTTGTTTTCACAAATAATGAAGTTTAAATTTCATATTTTGAAATTCAAAGACAATACCACTTTAGGAAACATGTGAAGGCCAAATTACTGAGTAAGTTGTGACGTTATCAAAAACTAATTACAGTTTCTGCCCCCGCCCCCCCCCCCCGCCCCCCCTATCTCTCTCCCATCGTTATTATTATTTATTTCTCTCTGACATATTTAGGGTCTATGAAGAGAAAATAAAAAGTTTAAACTGGATCTACTATTATTATAAACCTTTTTATGCTGTAGTAAACAATAGTGTCTATTTCACTGATGGTATAAAAGCTTTACTTAGTCACTAAATTAAATACAATAAGAATATAAGTTGATTTGGTGTCTATATACTGACAGAAGTTGATCCAATGCAAAGTTTGTATTTATTAAAATAGCTCCACATTGATCTATATACTAATGTTGAATAGAGAGAAAAGGAGCAAGAGGAAAAGAGTGAGTGAATAAAAATGGGGTTGTTAATGACTTTTGCATCATAAGAACTACTTCTACGAGTGTAAAATACTAAAATGAAATTCAAGTCTTTAAATAGGTCCTTTGCTTTAAGTCTTCCCAAACAAGTTAAAGTAAGAGAACGTAAACTGATTGGAAAATACCTCATATATGTACCTAGATTTCTTCCAATTGCCACAGAGACCACAAACGTCAATTATTGCTCGGTATATGTACATATTGGGACTATCCAAGTTTTTCTTCAATGAATCATACGCTTTCAGAGCAGATACTAAATCCCTCCTTTTTCCAAATTCGCTTATAATGTTGCTGAATAATATATGTGCATGTGGAAGAAGACATGCATACCTGAAAGATGCAATACCATCCATCATATAAAAGCTGATTATATAGAGACAATCAACATATATGAACTAGTTACAAAACCAAAGGAATCAGTAGTTTAGAAGGTATAAATTAAGGGTTTAATATTTCTGCTTTTACCGCAGAAATTATTTTTCTCCACACTTACATAAAAATAAGTGAGTCTCATTATATCCCATTAACTTTCTCTCTCTCTTCTCGTTATAATGGAATCCACTCACTTTAAGTGAGTGTGGCAATAAAAAGTTTTACTCAGCGCAAAGGCAGAAATACTTTTCACAAAAAAGAAAGACATAAACAGAACTATTAAGAAATTGAAACAACGTGTCTTTTGCAACAATATCAAAATCATACCTCACAGCTAAAATTGGGTTACGACAAAGAACACATTGTTTTATAATGTCAGACGGGTGAACAAGTTCTCTGATTGGTAACTGGAAACCTGAAGGAATAAATTCATGTAATTATGTCAAACATTAGGAAGCTGTTCCATGCTTAAACTTATCTATCCCTAATAAGAGTTTAGTCTTTGAATGCATAGCATAGATGTTAGATTTATAAAGAGTAAACACACTTAGAACTGATTCCTAATGAATCTACATTACTAAGAAAAAGAACCAACAAATAGAAATCGGTGACAAAAAAAATTACGTGCGAGAACCTCCATCAATTCAACAGCTTCCTCAATGTGGTCACATGTGACCATCCTTGAACACTCCTTTGCAATGATATCCATGGCAGACCCATCAAAATGAGTAGATAGAGAAATCCCAAGATCCTGAACTTTCTTCAAAGTATCAATCACAGTCCGAACATTCCTGTCTCGAATTCCCAGCAGAACCCCATTGGCGAGGAGTTCAACGTCTTCAGATTCTCTAGCAAGGTTGGAGGTGACGTCAGCATGGTGGTTGAGGGGTACTTGGAGGGTGCAAGAAATGTTCCGAGGGGAAGAGAAAGGAGTGAGCTTTGGAAGAGAAGGGTTATGGGGCTTGATGCTGTGGCGGTGAAGTGAAGCAGAAGGAGTGGATGATGATGAGTTAAGAGGAGGAGAGACAATGGAGGATCCAAGGATCACAAAATCTCTCATTATTGTCCAACCCTTTGTTTGTTTGGTTGAGCATTGAGCATGAAAAGTGGAGTTAATAAGGGTTTTGGAGTTTGTATTGGATTGGATTTGAAAGGTGTGTGTTTATGTTGTCCTCTGAGAACATTATCGTACCAACAAAAATGCAGGATTCATTGTGAACAACAATCCTTTTACCTTTTTCTTTACACGGGACAATTAATTAGTTGGGGAAAATTAGGCTTTTTATTCATATTTGTTAAGATAAAATATTTAGAGAATTAATGTTTCTTATATTTTAGAGAAATAATTTTATCTTATCTCTTGTATATACATAAAAGTGTGTTGCAGTTGAATTTGATTTGTGATTCGGATCAATTCATTTAAATTTTTTACATTCGTATAATTCTGTTCGGGTAGAATAATTTCATTTTTAAACTAAACCAGTTCAAAAATATATATATAATTCTTTCAATATGATTTGAATTGATTCACGATTTCATTCACTTCATTTGATTTTCTTTTCCCTTGTTAAAATGTCTCTTTGCTTTTGATCAGAATCGGTTTTTTTTTACAGTCGGGCCAATTGTGTGATCTTCCTTTGCATAAATGGCCTGAAATCGTCTTGGGTCAGAGCAGCTTTAACATATGGGTCTTCAATGGAACAAGATGGGGTGTACTTGCAAGACACTCTGATGCTCAAGTCAGATATGGTTCAAACAGGTTTTATTCTGTAAAAGAAGAATTGTACCTTTGTGTGATCATGTATGTATTTATAGTAGAGAGATAACCAGCTTGAGAGATATCTTGGTGTTAAAGTATACTTGGAGATGAAATATTCAAAAGATGTGATATTTAATATTGTAGAGCTTGCCATCATGTAGCCTTTTAATATTATGGAGCTTGATGAGATGAGGTTGCAGCCTTCATTGACTGTCATCTTCCTTAAAAGTGAAGGCTTTTATTTTGGGTCTTGTCTTTTTATAATATTATTCACAATCTTAAACCACCATACCCTACGTTGTATGCATTTGGTAAGTATATGGTTTATTAGAAGTAGCAAAAACTTTTATGAGTTCTTCGTGACAATTAGCTTTCACGGCTGTGTAACTTGTGATGGAATAAAGCATTCATTCACATCTATAAGTTTAGCTGCATTTTTACGAAGGAGCTGGCTTGTCTCACAATTAAATATCACATAAATAGCGCTAACTTGAACATGGATTCTAATCATTCTATACTTGGAATTAATAAGGTAACAAATATGTTTCTATAGAATGAGTCAAGACATATCAAGCATTTGAATAAAACAATGTACACAAGAACAGCTTGGCAATTTGTTTCACATTTATCACAAACCAAGGATAGGTTCAGCCTTAGGTTAAAAATATTTCACACTTCAATAAAATTGAGTAAATAATATTGCTAAAAAGTATATTCATTAATGTCTATAATTATGAATTTTTTATGTATCAATAATTATTACTTTTAATAAATAAATAAAATTAATAGGGAATTTTGATAAATAAATCATATTAAATTAGATTTATAAAAAATATAATCATAATTAAATTATTTTAATAATTTAACAAAATATAAAAACATGACGAATAAATCATTATTATTTTATGTATGTATATTGTTTATGTATCATTTTTTTTGTACATTTATTCAACAATTAGTCGATTAATTAACTAATCTAGTATAGGAATAAATTTTAGATTCAAAAAAACTCACCTTGGCAATTCTACTTACTCATATTGGGATTTTTGAATTAAAATTATGAATAAGAATCTCGTAAAAAGAATATCATCGGGTGGTATTTTTGAATTTTCACCCGTGGCAAATTTTACATAATTCATAAGATATAAATAACTGCGTTTTAATATTAATATTTTCATGACTAAAATATATTCTCTTGTTAAAGTTCTAACTATAATATTTTTGCTTCACAAAATGGTGGATTCCTCTTTTTTTTCTTTCATGATGCTGCGTTTTGACCCTTTGTGGCATATTATAATTTTTTTTCAAAAATTAATTTTGTAAAATCAGCTGACATCTTCATAAATTATTGATATATATTTCTAAAAATATTTTAACCTATCATTTAGTTGTTTAATAACATTCTTAAAAAATTATTTTCCAAAAATGGTAATTCGAACCACCCTAGTTTCTACAAATAAATGTTCTTGCGGAAGTCGAAGGACGGAGTGTGTGTGTGAAGTGGCAGTAAGAAAACCCAGGCACGTTGGGAACACTCCAAGTGTAAGGGGGGGCAAATCGGGAAATTCAAGTTTTGGGAATCTTCTGGAGAGTCTCGACCCCGTCCGGGCCAAACCCTAACCACACATTGTGTTCCCGGCAACCACGTCATCCTCCACCACCGATCAGAACCCTAATTTTGTTATCTCTTCTATTTTATTCCGTAATCTCGAAGGCAAAGTTTTATTTGATGCCGCCGAAGCAGCCATCAAAAGCTGATTTAGCGAAGAAGCAGAAGACCGTAGAGGATAAAACCTTCGGTCTCAAGAACAAAAACAAGAGCAAAAATGTCCAGAAATACGTCCAGAACCTCCAGCAATCCGTACAAGCCAAGCCTGATGCTTCCAAACTCGCTGCCAAGGTCCCTCTCCTGTTATAGTTAAATATAAGTTTAAGTATTGATTATCGTTGATTATCAGAAATGATGCGGATTTTGTTTTGCTGATTGTGTAATGGTGATGACAGAAAAAGAAGGAGGAAGAGATGGCCAAGGACAAGGAGCTGAATGATTTGTTCAAAATTGCTGTTAGTCAGCCTAAAGTTCCTGTTGGTAATTATCTTAGACTCACTTTGGAGTTTTCATGTTGGGTTTTATTTATTCAGTGTTGCAGGAAACTGATATCTGAAAATTTGATCAGGTGTTGATCCTAAATCCATATTATGTGAGTTTTTTAAAGTGGGACAGTGTGTCAAGGGGTTCAAGTGCAAATTCTCACACGATTTGAATGTTCAGAGGAAGGGGGAAAAGATTGACATTTATAGCGATAAGCGTGACGAGGGTATTGGATGGAAGTTCAATAGTGACAATCATTTGCTGCTTATTGTTTTGGCTTTGACGGGTTTCTGTTGTTTTTCTAACTTTTGGTTGGCTCTCACTTCTGTCAGAAACAATGGAGGATTGGGATCAAGAGACCTTGGAGAAGGTAGTGGAGTCAAAGAAAACCGAGTATAATCAAAACAAACCAACTGACATAGTACGTTGTTTCATTTGATTTCTTGGAATTGTCACTGTCATTCTTGTTTTTTTGATATTTTGCATTTTTCTTTTTGAGTTTCAGTATGCTTATGGTTTGATATGGAGTGTCTTTTGGATATTTGATGATGGTGCGTTGTTTTCAAATCTTATTTTCCACTTGGATCGTGCTACTCAAAGTGACCGTCATCTGCTGTTTGTGTACTCTGTTCAGGTGTGTAAATACTTTTTGGAAGCAGTGGAGAAGAAGCAATATGGTTGGTTCTGGGCCTGCCCCAATGGCGGTAAGAATTGCCACTATAGACATGCCCTTCCCCCTGGATATGTTTTAAAATCTCAAATGAAGGCTCTATTAGAGGAGGAAAGTGAAAAAATAACAATAGAGGAGGAGATTGAAAATCAGGTGAAAATATTTTTTCTGCAGTGAGCTATGTCATTTGATGTTGTATTAGGTTACCTAACAGAATTTTTTTATCATGGTTTAGCGTGCCAAAGTGACAACTACAACTCCTATGACTCCTGAGTTATTCATGCAATGGAAGACGAAGAAGATAGAAGAGAGAGATGCCAATTTGGCTGCACAACAGGCAGATAGGGCTAAGAATGACCGCATGAGGTACATCCACTATCTTTGTCTTATCCATCACATGTGAAAGTGTGTGTATGCATCTTATTACTCAATGTTAGAGAAAAGGAACGTACTGCATGTTGTTGAACATGTTTGAATGGGAGGATTACAGTTGGTTAGAAAGGCTGGTGATCTTTAACTTGGTTGTTTGGCGCTGATCAATGATCATGGTATATTGATTCCCCGTTCATTTGCAGTGGCCGGGAGCTCTTTTTGTCAGATGCTAGCTGGTTTGTGGATGATGATGAAGCATATGACAAGTACCAAAGAGAACCAGAATCTGATGACGCCGAACAAAATGTTAGTGTTTTCTTTCCTATTTCTCTGCATAATTTGGTTGCCTATTTCATGGACATTTAACTTCAGTTTTCCGACTGGTGCACTTTATGTGTTATTTATATATTATATACCCTTTTGTCTATCATAAGATCTTAAATAAAATAATTTTGCCTTTGGAGCTGCATTGTTGTTCAGGTGTGTAATGTTAATCATTTTTTTGGGTCCATTGGAACTTGGGTTATGACCGGTTGTGGCTCACCCCCTTTCATAACCCCCAGCCCACACCCATGTGACATAGTCAATATGTCTCCCAAATCATACAATTCTAATAACTTGTAGTTTTTGTTCAGGAAGACAGGTACTTTTTGTAGTTGGTACACAAGTTGTACTTGTTTCAAAGCACATTGAAATGGAATTAATGTATCTGTAAGGAGTTCCAGAAAATAAAAATATAAAGATCCTTGAACCAAAAACTGTGCATTCATTAATACTTGCATTTAGGTTGCTTCGTATGACATTGCCTGCTGGAAAGATCCAGGATGGTTGCGTTTTCCTTTGTTCATGGAGCTATGTCATAAATTATAGCTAGTTTGAAGTCTTCTTTCTTCTCCATTCCAAACAGTAGTTGTGATGCTATTACAGTATTACCAATATGCCTTCTGAAGCATATATAGAGACAGGATGCTACTCCCCCCCTCCTCTTCCCTTCTCTCTCTCTCCTCTTGCTGTACTGAATGCACAGTTAAAGTATGTGCTTAAACTGAAGCATATATAGAGACAGGATGCTACTCTCCCCCCCTCTCTTGCTGTACTGAATGCACAGTTAAAATATGTGCTTAAACTGCGGCATTTTTATTTTCATTTACTGTATATTTCGTTTTGCTAATTGTTGGGTTCAACTTTAGGTGAATGGTAATGCTGCTGAAGATGGTCCCAGCGCCTCGACAGTTAATGCTGATGCTGAAGATCCTGATGTTGATGATGATGATGAACTGGACATGGACGAGTTAAATGAATTGGAAGCAAGCTTATCAAAGACATCAATCCAAATAAAGGAGTAAGGAGCTGAAGATTAATTCTGAGAATTAGTTTGTAACCTACATGTGATATTTTTATGCCTCTGCTTCACACTAGAGCACATGCCTGTAGCCATTGGCTCTGCTTTCAAGGAAGTTTTTTCAATGAAGCCTTTAATGATATTACATTTGGTATGAATAATTGCCAGTGTGATATAATTCAAGTTGGACCTACTACACACATTTTTGTTGTTTGAACACAAGGTTGTCTCGAGTTGTTTGAATCTAATTTTGTTGATGAGTTTTGCTATCTCTGCATAGGGATCTTCCACATTGCTTTGTGCTGGTAATGTCTTATTAACGCTGAAGCATAAAGTGGTATCTTTGGCGTCATGTTTCAGCATGTTTGGTTGGGTTTTTTTATATCTTCAGTTAGTTACTAAAGATTAAGTCTCAACTTATCTTTGGTTTGTTATGGAAGATAAGTGAAAAGCTAATGCATCATATCCCACTACTCCAACAACTTCAGTAACTACCACTTCAGGTGCATATCCACAACTACTTATGTGATGAGCATAAGTTATTTAAGGTATGTGTGCTATGATTTAGGTCCATAAGCTTGTTTTCGTATTCAGGCACACATACACCGTTTAAATGACGAGAGTGAGAGCTTGGAAGCACATAAAAACCAAAGGGATATACATGACCCCTTTATTTTTCCGCATTGATCTAATTTCTTATTTGATTATTAGGCATGATTAGATCATAAAAGAATTTTAGACTAGACTTACATGTTTAACTTATCGTACGGTAACTGAGAAATCCATATATCATGGGAACGGTGATAAATTACCCTAAGATAAAAGAATATATAGGGGGAAGACAAATAGCAAGAAATTTGGTATATACCCTTAGAAAGGGGGATTAAAAGAATCAGTCTAAAATGGTAATTGCGTTTTATGCTTTATTCTATGGAATGGATATTCCCATGTTTGTTAGTAAAAGAAGCATGGAATTGTGATTTTTATTCTAACCATTCCTTCCAAGAGAGGTTGGATTGGAGGTGATTCCATTGTCTATGGATTGAGATTTAAAATCCTTTTCCTAACATGCCTTCGTTTAGTTTATGGAATGACAATATCCTTCATTAAATTTAACCTACCTTATAATTTTGTTTTTTGCCTGTCCGAAACTACCCACCCATTCATGTCTTGCAATTAATTTTGTTCTATTGTTCATGTTAATTATTCGGCATTGATACCATGGTCATTGCATTGCAGTCTCTATTACATTCCATTCTATTTCTTTTCATATTATTTGGAATCACCATTCCATATATTGAATGGGACGTAAAGTGCAAATGATTCTAAAGAGGATGGTACATTTTTCTATAGGGTACTAAGCAAGCACACCTAATACAGAGGGGAGCTCTAATTGAAGAGGGTTATCAAGATCAGTCTTATAAAATGACGAATATTATAACAGAATGGGGTTGTCCAAGATTTTATTCTATTTACGAGGAAAATATATTTAGATCATGTTAGAGGGTTTGCCAAATCATGAATAATGTGGTATGTATCAGTGCGTAAGAGCACATGGACCTTCGGCGTACGTGAGTTCAGACTTCAGAGTTTTCATGTTTCGGTCTAATTAAATAAGAGTGAACTATGAAGATTATGCCCTTCTTATTTCTTCTACCATTCTGAAAAATTGGATCATGATTTATCCTGGCCTCGTAGTATAACACTTCTAGCGAAATAAGAATATAATTTTGTGTGTGTATGCCACAAAAGTGTGAAGACGGACTTTTTGGGGATTAATAGATAAATTTTATGTCTTTGACACGTATAAAAATGTGTGAGATTCGTGTAAAGAGAAGAGAGAAAGAGAAAATATGAGTTTCACACTTATATATGCAAATGAGATAATTTTATCTCCTATAATATGAGAAACAGTAAATCTAATAAAAAATGGGTGTTTGCAAAAGACCTGTTATGTTTAATACAAGACTAAAAAAAAATTAAAGTGGTGCCAGTTAGAGGTGTTTGCGATCTGGATTGAATCGATTTTGAAGCAAAAATCATTTAATTCAATCCTTTCAGTTTGATCATTTAATCATCCATTCAGTTTGGATTTTTTTTAATTCAATCCAATCCAATTTTATTCGGTTTGGATTGGATCGGTTTACGATTTTTCGAAAAGCCTAAAATTCCCGCTCTACAAATCACTAGCTATATCAAAATAAAGCCATACAAAATTACAAATTATTGAAAAATTGAAGTCTTCAAAATAAAACAAATCTTAAAACTCATGAAGAGTTAAAATAGATTAATAGACAATAAAAACATAAAACTAGATAATTTGTTATCAATAATATCCAAGATCCAAGTCTACAAAATGACAAGAGTCCAAACCATCATCTTTCCAAAATAAGAAATACATAATATATTAGATCTGTATGGATTTGATCAATTTTCACCAACCAAACTGAAAATCGATCCAATCCAATTAAAATGTGCCTTATTTTGATTTCCACTATAATATATTGGATCAGTTTAGTTTTTGATTTTTCGGTTATCGATTTTTTGATTCGATCGCCGCGATTTGAATCGGTTGATGAATATCTGGTGCCTGTGAAGTGTAAATAAGATATAAAACATGATACCTCTACTTCACAATATATCACGAATGTTTGCGAAACAGAATAAGAGTATGTCTATATAAAAAAAATAGGGCAGGATCCTTTGACATTTTTGACACCAAATTCCAACAGTTGATTTTTGTCAATCAACGGCTATCATTTATTGGAATTAATAATTAATTAATAAGTGTAATTCTCAATAAATGATAACCGTTGATTGATGGAAATCAACAGTTGGAATTTGGTGTCAAATTTTAAAATTTGACACCGGTGTCAAATGATTCTACCCCAAAAAAAATATAATAAATTTTAATTAAATAATAAAAATTATATAAATATAAGATGATGTGTGTATGGAATTGTTTACAAAGTACAAGAAAGACATGACAGTGAATACTGCACAGGTTAAATAGGGTATGACAAGTAGTAATAGCTCAAATGGTTACTCAACTTGATTCAAGTACTACCCAACTTCCCCGGTGCGGTTATTTTTTACCTGCACCGGATCTGATCGTAATCCCATTTTCATCAATGTCCTCAACCTGACATACAGCTTATATCCTAGTTTCATTAGTTTTTACATTTAGGAAAACGCACGTACTAGGATGTTGGCGAAGACCATGAGTCAAGAAAAGATCGAAAGCAAAGTCAGTGTAGAAAATAAAATGTACAAGGCAATGCCGAGGATGACACAGCGCTTATTTATCTTTGCACTTTTACAAGGCGCTTGTTATGCGGATTATGTTTGCTTACCTTGGAAAGTAATATTGGTCAAAGGAAAATGTCATGTTTGGTAACAAAAAAATAGCTTGTTTCCCGGATACCAAGTTATCTCAGTTTTTTACTTTTGTTAATGCATGTACAACAAGCTACAGATGATGCCCGTTGATAACATGAGATACATTATTAGCCCGGGATGTGAAAAGAGTGTCAGTGTGAAGTGGACCAAAATAACCTTGTTTGTTGTATTAACTTTGAATGAAAAAGTAAAAGTGAGGTTATTTTACAAAAATAACCCCACATTCCTACTACTATTTCACAATCAACCAAACATCAACTCAGTAAACTAACTCAAATATTCCCGGGACAAATTTTGATTAACCAAACACATTTTTATAACTTATCCGGAAAAAAATATTGTCAATCACATTACAGCAAAATTGTTTTCATGGTTAAAAAAAAAATTCTCTTGTACCAAAAGCCCCCTTAAAGAATCTCATTTTACTATTCGGAAACCATAATATGTGTTGACACAATTATAATATCAACAAAATTAAATTTTAATTTCAATATCACTGCCGTATAAGCTGTATTATAGATAAGAAAGCATGTATGAGAGCCATCTCAAAATATGAGTGGCTATGAAAAGCTATTAACAAATCTGTTGGAAGAAAACTGTTTCAAGTGGATGAAGCAACAGAACAACAGAAGAAAAGACAGAAGCCATCAACTACATTGGTAAACAATTTACATTTTCTGTTAAACAATAGTTTACTTTTATAGTTGTATTGCTTAAAAGAGATCACTTGATTGGTGCAAGAATGGTGTACAACAAAAGAAATGTGACAATTATAACTGCCCCTCCTAGAGTAAAAGTGGGACTATTCCAGAACTTGAGGTTTGATCTCTCTGTTCTCTTGATAGGATCAACCTCCTCAGAAAGTGGGAAATCTGAACGCCTAGGATTCCAGCTCACATACTTATTTGGAGAAAATTGGGAGAAGAGTGTTTTTCTCCCTTGCTTCTTGAAATTTGACCATGCCTTGTCCCAGTCTGTTGAAGATTTATCACCTGCTTTGTTTTGAATGGGTGAAAATTGATAAAATGCTTTTGGAAACAATGAATTATGATCACGTGGTGCTATGATCATGATAAACAATTATACTTGTGTACTATGAAACACCGCATTTTCGATACGTTCTCGATACGATACAATACAATACGTTTTCAATACACGTCCAATAAGTTGGAAAAAAAAAAATCGGATTATCGGTGCTTCATAGGAAAATATTTAATATGGTACATGCCCATCTATGATTCAGTGATCCAAGTCAATGAAAAATTAGTATTTTTTTACTTGCTTACACGGAGGAGAGAGAAATAAATGTGTCAGGACTACTATAAATGATCTAGCTTCATAGATTGTGGATCAAAATATTATGATGTATCTCCAAGGTACGCTATTTCCCAAAATACTATGAATGGTGCTTTTCAGCAATTTCAGATAGGAAGCACATCCCATTTTATGCACCAATCAGTGAAATAAGAAATCGCAATGAACTATACAATCAACATTAAATAAATTCATGCCATATGCATATAATTAGACAAGTATGAAAGAATAAACAATCATGGTAATTGCAGTCTGTAGAGCAATAATACCTTTGTTATTGTTATCGTCGTTTCGTTGAGATTCCTTGAAGTTCCTTTTGGAGCAGACAAATTTGAAAGGGGAATAAGAAGAAAAAGAAAAGATGGAAGAGTATGTTGAGGTTTGATATCGTGAAGAGAAGCGATACGACATAAAACTTTGTACTGGAAGCTGTTTAAGAATATCCATTTGCATCCTATCTAAGATTCTTATTTCGAGCTTCCTATGCGGGAACCCAGCATCATCATCATCATCATCTACTTCTTATCTTTTCCGAATCTCATATTTCACCACCTCATCACACGTGTCTCTCCTTATATGCCTCAATATTTTAAATATTTTTTCATTTATTGTAACTTAATATATATATTTATACGATTTATTGTTTCTTCATTAACATGAAATAAAGTTATTTTTATCAATGTCAAAAATTACATCATTTTGGTATTCAGAAAATTAATGAAAAATATTTTAAAAATTTTAATTTATTTTTTATTATATAAATTTGACCAAAACATTCTTTATTAATTTCATCAACCCAAAATTAAATAATTTTGAGATTAATAAAAATAATTCCATCTCGTATTTAATGGAGAAACGATAAATTCATATTTATAATTATATAAATAAAAATAGAAAAATACCAACTAACTGGCACGTTAATGCTTATCAATCCACTGTTACATATAACTGGACTCATTTGCATTTGATCCCTCGTACATTGAGCATTTGAGCTCAAGCGGGTTACCCTTTCCCTACTAATCTAAGAGTCCTGGTTTTAATATTGGAATTTACTAAAGAATGATGTTAAAATAATGGTTGAAGAAATAAAAATTAAAAAAAATGCTTATTATATTAGGAATAGAAGAAATACCTAATATCTTTTAAGTAAAAAAATATTTAATAAAAACATTAAGTACTTCTTAAATAATACCTTTGGCTACTTACTATAATTTTAAGGTTTGAGTAATCAACAAGTATCTTAATAATCTTTTTTTTTTTTTTGGATATTAGTATCTTAATAATCTTGATTAATGATGATTATTACATTTTTTTCTTGATATAATAAATGCTTTTTTCTGGATGGATTTTGGGCTTGATTTAATGCCCATTTACTCAGCCTTGTCACAAGGTGATGGGCTTCGTCACACCTGATACGACCTTCCCCTCACTTTTATGTACAATCCCATCATCATCACGAATGAGCTAGACAAGCTCTATAGGTGGAACTCATTGGTTAATGATTTTAGGTCATTTCTCACATTTGAGAATTTTATTTTTTTTGAGATATTCTAATCAGTTCATCGCTTCGAGACTAGTTTGATTCGAGACACGTTCTTAGATTAAGGTTTTAAACCTCACCCAAAGACAATACTAGGAAGGATCAAACATATGCTATCACCACCACCTGCTCAATTCCCTGGCACGAACTGAACTATCATCATTTGATTATTGAAAATTTCTCATTTCCCCTCTATAGATACACTTTCCTCCACTTTAAAGGGGCTATGTGTTTGTTTATAAATGTATTGATACATTTGGGGTTATGTGTTGCTTGACTTGTCAGCTTAAGTATCCTAATATGAGAGGTAACCATTAGTATTCAAGGGAATGATCTTTGTAAGGAAGAAGGAAGAAAGCAAGCTTTTAGAGTTAAAATTTTGGGTATTAGGTGTTGAACTATTTGTATGTACATATGAGATGTCATATACAATGGGTATAAGAATAATGTGGATAGTGAGTCCCGATAATGAGGGTCATACCAGTACTGGAATGTCATGTTTGATATTAAAATCACTATTTTAGGTGATGGGGAGCATTTAATGTGTGCATATGGTTGGAGTTACTATTTTATCTTATGATAATAAATGAAGCATGGGGATGTGTGGGACCTAGGGGTATTCGCGGTCTAGATTAGATTAGTTTTGAAGCAAAAATTATCTGATCCAATTCCTTCGGTTTGATCATTTAATCATCCATTCTGTTTACATTACTTTTTAAATCCGTTCCAATTCAATCCAATTTTATTCGGTTTGGATTAGATCGATTTTCAATTTTTCGAGAAGTCTAAAATTTCAACAATACAAATCACTAGCTATATCAAAATGAAAACACACAAAGTTATAAACCACTAGAAAATCCAAATTTTCAAACTAAAACAAGTCTTAAAACTCATGAAGAGTTAAAACAGAGTAATAGACAGTAAAAACCTAAAACAAGGTAGTTTGCTATCAATAACATTCAAGATTCCAAGTGTACAAAACAACAAGATCCAAGTCACCGTCTTTCTCTTTCATACTTCACTCTTTTAACTTACTCAATGCTCACTCTGTGGTCTTCAAAAAACCAACAAGACAACAACTTTCATGAAAAATAGAGATTAAGAGAGGGTTCAAGCAACAACAAATTTAAAATAAATATATGAACAATTGAAATTAAAAAATAACAACTTACATCATCAACTTTTAATTAGAACACGTACCAGAATCAACATCAACTTCTATATTTTGAGAATAAAGTAAACTATATATCTCCATCTTTACAAAATCTTATATAAGCTCTTCTACATTTAAGGGAGTAACTGAGTAAAGCTTACTGAATTAGGAAAAAGGGCATTAGCGAAAATTTAAAAATAATAAATACATCATACATGAGTCAGTTTTTACCAACCAAATCAAAAGCTAATCCAATCCAATTAAAATATGCGGGTTTTTTTCGGTTTTTGATTTTTTGATTTTTTGATTTTCAGTTATCAATTTTTCGATTCAATTATTGTAGTTTGGATCGATTGATAAACAATCTAATTGTTTCTCCATTGTTGTTACTCAATCTCCTTGCTATCTAAATACCAACCCATTGTTCCACACACATTCCCCTTTTCTCAAATTAATCCCACCATAGCACATTAGTCATAACTAGGGCGTAGGGGTATTCAAAATATCCAAATTATCCAAACTAAACTAGATCCAAATCGATCCATACTTAGAAATCAATTTTTTTTTCAAAATAGGTTTTAAACAAAAACCGCTTCTTTTTTTTTTTTTTATAACAAAAACCGCTTCTTATAGTGTAAAGCAATTCAGTTATCCACTCTTTTATGGAACAAATATCTGCAGTTATCCAAATCGATTTTCTTCCTTGAATTCAAAGAGTGAATTTTAAAATCCCTATCATCGGCACTTAAAATAAACCTACCATTTGGGGAAAACTCCTGCAACTACGAAAATCCAATTGCAGTATTCTAACCGTGCACAATAGATGCAACTATTTCACGCATTAACTTTGTGAGACTATTAAAATAAACAATTGAAGGAAAGATAACTACGAAAATAAACAGAAAAAATGAAAACCACCAAATATTACAAAATCACTCACTCAACAAGCTAGCTATGATACTGCAATAATGAGAAAGAAACAACGTTGGTTTGTTACGAGCTAACGCTTGATTGAGATCTACAACCCAGATAAGGCCAAATTTATCAGTGAAACCCACATAAGATCCATCATTGCTTATGGCAACCGCAGTGACTCTCTTTTCCAAGGACCTAATTCATTGGTAGAAAAGAAGTAACTATTGAATTGAACGTCTGCTACACAACACAAACACAAACTGGTTATGACTTCAAAAACCGATTTTGAAACACAAACTGGTTATGACTTCAAAAACCGGTTTTGATTTAAAGTGTTTCTAAGTCAAGACCGGTTATAAACTATAAATCGATTTGGAAAAGTCAAAATCCAATTTTAAAATAAAAAATCAAGCCATTTAAAATCAATTCGATTTTTGTCAAACCTATTATGAATCGCTCCACGTAGGGTTGGCAAAACGGGTCAATCCGGCCCGACCCACATTCAACCCGAAAAAAATGAGCCGAGTTAGGGTTGGCTCGAAAAAAAACGAGCCAGAAAATCCAACCAACCCGACCCAAGTCGGGTTAGGGTTGACTTAAGGATTGGCTAAAAAATATGGCTCGTGGGTTGACTTGAAAAAATAGCTCGCGAGTTAGCTCAAAAATTGGCTTGCGGGTTGGCTCAAAAATTGCTCGTGGGTTGGCTCGTTCTCAACCTATTTAAATGACCCTGTTGTGTTAATGCACCAGTTATGTGGCTTCCATCAGCTTAAACAAAGGGTTACAAAATAAAAAATAAGAGCAAAATATTTTAGTTTCGAATTTTCTTACAAATTTGCATCAACATCAAGAAACAATCATAATCACTTGCTACCAAGTGGATAAGATATTTGAACCAAACAGAATATAAAAATGGCAGGGATGTGAGAAAATTAAGGACTTAGGTTTAGAGAAGGAAGAAAAATGATGACAATATATGTGAGTTTTGTCTATTTTTGTATATTATATTTTGTATTTTTTTTATATAAAAAAAAATCAACCCGCGAGCTGGCTCGTTTGACCCGCGGGTTGGCTCATTTTTTCACGAGCTGGCTCGAGTCAAGTTGGCTTGGGTTGACAGCTCATTTTTGGCAACCTAACCCGGTTCATTTTTAGCAAATTACAAAACAACCCGATGAATTGGCTTATTTTTGCCAACTCTAGCTCCATGCAGACCCCCGATTAGTGGAATTCTTGTACTCCATACTTGAGCTAGTCTAGTCTAAAGCTTGTCTTACCTTTTTTTTGGTTCACATTGTATTCTTACCCACACTTCAAATCAATTTCACTTTTTTATTTAATAATTTTTACTTATATTTTCAAAATCTGTATCTTAAAAATACTTGTCAACAAATATCTTGGGATGTTTTTTATATTTTTGGTAGTGTTTTTTATTTTTAGTTAATATATTTTTATTCAAATTACAAAACAAGATAATACTTTTGTAATCATTAATTAAATATATCAGGCAAACCAATCCAAACCAATGTATTCTTAATTTTTTGTTGGAATTGAATAGACTTATCGGGCCATGTAACCCTTGTTGTGCAACGGGTAGGCAACCCAAAAATAGTTAGTCTGCATATGTCGTAATATGGCTTCTTGTCTAAAGTTTTGTGCAGGAAATTGATTAAACAAAAAAACGTGAAGCTTCGTTACGCTCTTTTACGCTTGCCGAGGCACGGGGAACAAAAAGAAAATGAAAGTTCCTTCTCCTGAACGTGCGTTCGCATTCTGAAACCGAATGCATACGTGTAGGCATTAACGTATAGCAAAAAATCTCACATAAATTACTGCAAATCACGAAAATGTTTATTCCTTATAAATAACAGTAACTTATTCTTAGGTATGTATGTTTCTTACTTTAGCCTTAGCATAATTTATTGATGAAATTATTATCAGCAACAACCTAAAAGCAATGAGAGCAAAAAGTTTTGTCGCGCCTACTACTTAACACGAAAGACTAGCTTAGCTCTTGTGATTTCGGAATAAATTATGTTGTGTTTCATTTAATATAATCAGGTTATATGAATTGATTTTGGCTGTTCATTCATAAATGAAGGGTGATAAGAAATTAGAGAGAAAAATTACTATAATAGAGAATGAAAAAATACGTGATTATTTTTTAATAAACAATCGAAATTGCTTTAAATGACTTGATCATATTGAATCATATATGATAGAATTCATTTCTTACTCATAGTAACCCATTGATACTAGTCATCGAACTTTCATGTTGTGTTATGGACCCACAACTTCTTTCCTTTCACTATCCTTTCCTCATGTTCACAAATTCATTGCCCCCCTCTCTCTGCACCCCATTCTCTACCACCCACTCCTTAAATCCTCATCATTCATCTATTATTTATTTCAGACATTTTATGTTACATTAAACAATAGTGTGCCAATGATATGAGAGGAAGAAATAGATGTGGTGGGAGTTGGGTTTTATGGCACTGACCTAACATAAAAGAATTGTGCTCCTCACAGATGCCACGTGTCGCACACTGCAACCCGCCATTCCTTTTTCTCTTTCTCTTTCTCTTTCTCTTTTTTATTCAGATGGATAGCAACGCTTCAAGTTCTCATTCAATGACAATTGCGCCCTCAAATCCCAGTAATGGATCTGGCAAGAAGGTGAGAAAACCTTATACAATTACCAAGTCTAGGGAGAATTGGTATGAGGAAGAGCACGACAAGTTCCTCGAAGCTCTTCAACTGTGAGTCTATAACGCTTCTTCACTTCACTATTCATTTATTATAATCTTTTTTTCAACTTTTTAATAGAAATAGACAGTGCACAACTTTAAATGTCTGAGTGAAGTATCAAACACGTTCTGCAATTGAATTATTATTTTATTTTATTTTCCTACTTAGATTTGACAGAGATTGGAAGAAAATTGAAGATTTTGTAGGTTCAAAAACGGTTATTCAGGTTAGGAAATTGCTATTCAGCTAGGTGTCTTCGTTTTCTTTTCGTTTGTGTCTTCTATTTCGCCATTATGTGTCTCCTTTCACTATGAATTTTCTTCAGATTCGAAGCCATGCCCAAAAATACTTCTTGAAGGTTCAAAAGCATGGGAATATAACACATGTGCCTCTTCCTCGTCCTAAGCAAAGCAAGCACTCGCTGTGCAGTTTGTATATGCGACCATTGGCCTTCGTAAGCACAGCCAGGAGAGTGTGTGCTAGAAATGCTGAAGAGCCGAAAACAATCTTCAGCTAATATTCTAAGGTTCTTTAAGGTTTTGTTGTGTTGCAGTCATTCTGTATTTTAGTTGCTATTTTAAGGATGTGGTATAGTATTCATTTTGGATATGATGTGGTATAGTATTCTAGGCGCATAAGTATAATATTAAGATAAGTTTGATGGTTTCAGGTGTATTAAAAGAAAAAAATAAGGAAGCGGAGGTAAATAAGACATACCTAGTCACACTTCGTTTCGTGGTTTACTCTTGCCACTTTTGAATCTTCAATTTGCCGGGTGAATTTCTTCGTTTAGTAGGGCGAGTTTCAACGTTCCAATGTAAATTGTGAAGTGCCTCATAATAGGAAGTGGTCCCAATTTATAATTTTTTATTTAGCGTCATCAGTTTGAAAAACAAGTATTAACATTTCAAGAAACCATTGCAACATAGTAGATTTGCTTTTGAGTTTAGATATAAGCTGTAGCTTCAATTATTTGTTATGAGAATACAATATTATACAGTAGAACTATGTTGAAAGAAGTCTCATTTACTCGTGTTCTGAATAACTTGACAGTAGCAAGGCAACACACCTCACTAATCTACAATCAACCATTTTTGTATTTCAAGATTGTGTATATTAATCCAATTAACAATTAATACATTATACTTTTAAATATAAAATAATTGTGTGACATCAAAGTTTATATAATTATTTAATATAAAATAATATTATACCGGTTGTTAGTTAATTTAATCTATACATAATGTTTAGGCATGAATTTCTGACTCTCGGGGGCGATCTCGTAGTTCTTGGTCTGTGAAGATACATTGTTAGGAGCTCCGTTTTTTTTTTTTTCCATACACGGAGGGGAACGCCATTTGCAGCTCAAATCGCAACAGGAAATGCTATTAGAATGGTAGCGGATCAAGGCATGCAACGAGCATGTTGGGTGCATGATAAGGTTTAATAATATAAGATCTAATAGTATAAGATTTGATAGTATAATGTCTAATTATATAAGGTTTGATTAAATTTTAATATTATTCAGCATTTAATATGACATTGTATAAAATAAGGGGAAGATTATATTTATAAATTTTTTATTTACAAACTCTTGCAAATTACATTATGTACATATGAAAGTATATTAGGTTATACTATGTACTTTCAGGAGTACATAGTATAATTTGAAAGTACATAGTAAAATTTATAAAAATTTGTAAACGAATCTTTTTTTATAAAATAATGTTATTTAATACTTGGTAATAGACTATATAATATTAGATAAGATAAAAATAAATATTTTTTACAAACCAAATAATGTGGTCATATGATATCTTTCAAGTTTTAAGCGCAACGCAACCTATTCACAACTTGGGCGAGCCAGAGTAGGACCTAAGCACCCAAATGGACACAAAATACTTCCACTTAGATGGCGTTTATATATATACAGAGTTTTGTTTTTTCTAAAGTTACTTTATATAATTTTATCTAATGTTCATCGAGACTTTATGTTGTTTTGGAGCGGAAATCATGGTGTTTTTATAATTTTAATTTATTTCAGGGTTATAATAGTCTTTATCATTCTAATTTTTTAATTTTTCAACCCAAAACGATGTCGTTTCGATGAACATTAGAGAAAGTTGTCTAAGGTAACATTAGATACTTTCTCCCATATATATATATATATATATATATATAGGGACAAGATATTCTTACACCGAGGTAAGAGTTAGAAGTCTTACACTCAATCTTGACCATTGATCCACTTGTATCCAATGGCTCACATTACTAAAAAATTAGATCCCTTAAATATAAGTGGAATCAACGGACAAGATTAAGAGTGTAAGGGTAAAATGATCCTTCCCCATATATATATATATGGGGCAGGATATTCTTACACTGGTGTAAGAGTTAGAAGTCTTACACTCAATCTTGACCATTGATCCACTTGTATCCAATGGCTCACATTACTAAAAAATTTGAGCCCTTAGATATAAATGGGATCAGTGGACAAGATTAAGAGGGTAACTTACACGGGTGTAAAATGATCCTAACCCTATATATATATATATATATATATATATATATATATATATATATATATATATATTCTAAAGTAAAACCGTTTATTGGAAACTTTGATGATGTGTCGCATTCTCCTTGAATCTGAGGTTTGTGTTCACACTTAAAGAAATTTAACTGTTTCCTGTTATAGTAATTTTTTAAATTATTTTTTAAGCTTAAAATTTTAAAACATCAATTGAAATCCGATTACAAAACACAATTAAATTAAATTCCCACTATCTCTTTATTGAAAGCTGCGAAAGTTGGAAGCTACAACAATTTATTGAACCTTATTGGGAGTTGAAAAGTTTTTTATAGTAGTGCCTTATTTGAAAGTTGAATTTTTTTTTAAAGTTGTGCCTTAAGGTACTTCTCAAATAATGCATTGAGTTTTTGTATAAATAGAGAATTGTTGCTTCTTCTCTTTTGTCTTGCCTGCATTTTTCTTTCTTTCTGTTCATGTCTGCGTTTTTTTTTTCTTTCTGTTCATGTGCGTAGGGATTGTTCTATTGGTATAATTTTCGGTTTCTTTATGAACAAACCCTATGAATTCGTTTTCATAAATTTTTTACTAACACTGATTTATTCATTTTTTAGGGTGGAAGGATTCATGATACTGTGAGTGGTTATTTACATATTCAGCGTCTTCCACCTTCAATTGTTTCGATCCACGACTACCAAAAGAGATCTTTCTTCACAGTGCTAATTCATTCTTCTTCCACGGAACAGTGAGGGGCTTTATGCTTCCAGAGTCACCTCTTCCAATGACACTCAATCTTTCGAAGAAAAGTCCCTCAATGGTAAATCCTTCATCACGTATTCATTCTTATCTCTTTGTTCTTATTGTTCCATCCACTGAGAAATCTTCACCACCAACCACGGTATTCCTTCCTATCCACAAAATAGGAATGTTTGATCCATTTCTTTCTCGAGAAACAGATTGAGTTTCGTCCCTTTCTCTTGGAAGTGAGTCGGGGAAATTTAATATATGATTTTTCTCTTCATCAAAGAAAGAGATGCATATTGTAGAAGACAACACAACCGCACAATAAAAAGAAAAGGAACAACGCAGAACTGAGCAACTCAACAAAGAGACGAGCATTGCACAAGACTGAAGAAGATATGGGTTACCTTCTTTTGATTTTTCAATTTTGCAGCTCCCCTTTTTTTTCTTTTATTTGAATATGTATCATACAATTGTGGTTTCATAATAGCAAAAAAAATATATTATTATATATTATTTCCTTTTCTTATTATTTTTTTATTTTATTTTTTTCTCCACCGAACATAATTACTAATATCCTTTGTATATCCAAAAAAAATAATAAATTTTCTTTATTTTATGTATGACTTTCATAATAATGGGTTTAAAAGTTGTTACCATTCATATTCCATGTGATAACTTGAAAAGTCTCTATTATTGAATGCCTTTGAATTTTAAAAAAAATGGCTGATGGACGCATTGGAAAATGAAAAGCCTCATGTGTGTGAATTATAATAACATTAATTGCTAAACCTATTATAAGATAGTTGTTTCACTTGAAGTAAATGGTCATTATGAATAAGTGGAGCTTCTTTGGGATTTTAACATTTTGTAAATGCAAGTAATACACATCAGATGTGGTTTACTTTTCCAACGTTATTCATTAATTTTTTTGAATTCCAATGGATGCAAAACGACACTCTTCAATTTTAACGAAAACAAAGTCCAACATACATCCATATGACAATAGTCTTGAAACTGGAAACACTTAGAATAATTACGGAAAAGATTCATAAGATTAAACGATTTAAAGATCTGACAATGGAAATCTATGATTGAAGCAATCAAGCAAATATAATCTATTATACTCAACATAGAACAGTAAAAATGGAATATAAGAAAACAATAGCCAATAAATATATAAATTATGAAGAAAAAAATTCCCTCTCATTCCCTTTTTATAGTATAAGGAAAAATAATAATAAATAAAACTCTACTTTATATCTACATTCAGTCATCTACATAAAGTAAATTAAAATCTTAACTTAAAATAATGATACAAAACGGAAAACAAATTCGCACAAGAAACTTTTTAAGAAATACTTAAGATAAATATTTTAAATGTATATATATATAGTATAAATTAAAAGAGAAAAACGATATTTTTTAAAAGTATGTATAATTAATTATATTATCATGTTGAATTTTAAATTTTAAAATTAAATATATTAGAAAGAAATCAAACTTTTATTCTTTTGATGTAAGAGTGTAATTAACACAATTTCCTATGTCGTGAATGATTACCTAGAAGCTATTACTTGGAGAATGTGTCTAGACTTCTATGCATGTTTCCCTTTATTTTTTGCATAGAAAATTGTTAAGTCTATTAATTTATTATTATGTCTATTGGGAGGGAAATTATTTAATACTTAAAATTTAAACTTTCTAAATTTGAATTTTGAACTTGAGAGGTGAGAAAAGATTCAGCATTTAATATTGCCTACTACTTTTTGCATGGGAAACTATTAAGCATATTAATGATAGTTATTACTATATCTATTGGGCTTAATTATTATACATATTAGAATTAATTATAAAACTGGAAAAAGGATATGTATAAAATAAATTTAATTTTAATAAAAAATTATGAATTAAATGAAAAAATATTTAAAATTGTAAAAATATAATTTAAAATAAAGTAAATTAAATTCTTAGCTTAAAATAATGATACAAAAAGGAAAATAAATTCGTACAAGAAACTTTTTAATAAATACTTAATATAAATATTTTAAATGTATATATATATATATATATCTATATATACATAATATAAATTAAAAGAGAAAAAATTATTTTTAAAAAGTATGTATAATTAATTCTATTATCATGTTAAATTTTAAATTTTAAAATTAAATATATTAGAAAGAAATCAAACTTTCATTCTTTTGATGTAAGCATGTAATTAACACAATTTTCTATGTCGTGAATGATTACCTAGAAGCTATTTTTGAAGAATGTGCCTAGACTTCTATGCATGTTTCCCTTTATTTTTCTCATAGAAAATTGCAAAGCCTATTAATTCATTATTATGTCTACAGGGAGGGAATATATTTAATACTTAAAATTTAAACTTTCTAAATTTGAATTTTGAACTTGAGAGGTGGGAAAAGATTCAGCATTTAATATTGCACACTACTTTCTGCATGAGAAATTATTAAGCATAATGCCTTAATCCTGGACCCGCCCCGAATCGGATTAGTTGTGAAGCAATGAACCAATTGGAATATTTCCAAAATAAAATAAAATTATTAAGCATATTAATGATAGTTATTATTATGTCTATTGGGCTTAATTATTATTCCTATTAGAATTAATTATAAAACAGGAAAAAAGATATGTATAAAATAAATTTAATTTTAATAAAAAATTATTAATTTATCGGAAAAAATATTTAAAATTATAAAAA